TCTCTAAGATAATATGAGCTTCTGATATTGGTGACTCTAATCACCATTGTGCATTTTACTTATATCAGTTACTTGCTGACAGTATTTGTTTGTGGCATTTTCTACTGTGAATTCTTTGTTGAGTAGAATTTTTGTCCAATTAGTAAATTGAGACATTTTTCACCTGTATGTATGTATTTTTATTCCTTCATATGTTAATGAATTGTAACTGGTTCTGTTTGTAGACTGAGAATCTAACATTATCACCACTGCCACTAGCAAAGAACCAGTCTATGTCACCTTATCGCAGAGTGTCAGACAAGCACACCGTTTATATTCGATCACTGGAGCCCAAGGTGCTGCCAACTTCTCCAACACAGCCTCTCAGCTACTGCTTCAGTAGGAGTCCAGCCAAAGTGAGTTGTATCTGCTAGCTTTCCTCTCCTTTGCAACTAAAAGAATGCAAATTACTATTTTCACCATGGTCTCCTCCATGTCTGCCAATTGTATGTTTTTGCAATCAGTTTGTTACACATTTTATGCAATAGGCATGTTATCTCCTGGACATTAATTTATCAGAATGGCTGTAAATTATTCTACTTACATATATAAATTTAATGTTAATCCCCAGCTTTCATATTCTTCTTTTACTTTCCTCATCATAAAACCATGATTTAAAAAAAACTTCATTATTCATCTCCCCAGTGGTCTCTTCCCTTCAGGCTTCCTGACCAATACTCGGTGCACACCTCTTGCCCCAACCATGCACGCTACATGCCCCACCCATCTCATTCTTCTCTACTTAATCACCCTGACAGTATTGGGGGAGGAATACAAATTTTTAAGCTCATCATTATGAAGTTTTCTCCATATCATTTTGATTTGTTATTGATAGTTACATGCATACAATGTTTTTTACCAGAAAAGTTAAAATTCCACATTTTGATTAATGTAACTTTGGAAACGTGGCTGCGTTGAATATAGTTTCTTGACAACTTTATATGTCTGCTCTCAAAAATCTACTTGCTATAAAGCAGTAAAATTTGGCAGGAATACTTTTCTCCATTGGGACTACAATATCACAGAAATTCATTCAAATATAAAGGGAAGTCGGATTGTGACTTATATTTATTGGACATGGAATGAGCCCCAAGCCAACTCTCACATCACTGGTGATCTTCACAGAGGTCATATTCTGGTAGCCAGTCCAGAATTGTTGTGCTGTGAAACTTATGAATATTTATACATACAGGAATGTATAAAATGACAAGTAGTAGCTTTTTTTTTATTTATTATGGTTTATTTGGTGATACTGTTAGTTCAGACTATACATGGTCCCACCTGACTCTGAAACCTCAGACAATTTTCTTATTTTAACATAAAAAAGTTTCAAATAAAATGTACAGTCTATATGAGATTTACATTAAATGATTAATTATGGGGTAATTTTCATGTTACCACGGTTACCTTCTTTTTAGTGGAATCCTTATTTTTTAAGGTAGAATTACTACCAACTTTGAGACAAGTTCACAGAACATATTCATTTTTGATGGGCCGTTGCTGTGATGTCGACACTCTTAAGTATGAGAGACAGATGCATCAGTATGTATTTTACACTGAAAATTGTAATGTTCATACAGAAGTTGCAGTAATGACTGTTCAGAATGGTGACTGTTGGCATTGATATACAGTGAAACCTCTATCTATCGTTCCCGGAACTATCGTTTTCCCGGATGCATCGTCCGTTTTGTTCGGTCCCGAATACATCCCATATAAAATAATGTTACATTTTCCCGCTTCTATCGTTCCTCGAACTATCGTTTTATCGCATCGATCGTTCAAAAATCTTAGTCCCGGCCAACAATTTTCCCGCAATGATCGTTTCTGAGAAATTGTAACGAAATTTACGTGATATTTTTAGAATTTAATTCCGAAAGACGCACAATGTTTTTGGAATACACAGTAGCGATAACCTGTTATGTCGCCCAACCAGCACATTCTTTTGGAATGAG